GGATTTGTTCTGTTTGAGAGATATATACAGAAGGTTTAGTTGTAAATATGTTGCAACATATTGGGTAACACGAAAAGATGTTCTTATTTCATTAAACGCAAGCCAAAGCTCTCTGCAAAAGCACCAAAATGCTTCTTAATTTCTTATGTTTAGAAGCTCTAAATACCATCTTATAACTTCTGAGAATTTGTTGATTAAGAGGTGTTTGGCACATATTGTGCTCTTAGATCAAAAAAGGTCTTTGTACTAGCTGACCAAACACACACTTAATCCCTAGTGTTTTGACCAAGACAATGCAAGGCAAGAAGCCAATGGAGCCAAAGCTAAGGAATTATGCTGAGCTTGCCCAGGTTCTTGGGATTGCAAATACAAAGAAAGGTATTTTGCTGTTACTGCTGGTCGTAAGAGTATTTAGGACCCATTTCTATAACTTCCACTGCTTGCTTAATTAATCTTTCTTGTTTTCTATATTTGAATGAAACCACACTTTTTGGCTGTTATTTTAGAGTGGTGTCAAACTAATTACTAAGTCACTTATCTCCGGTAAACCCTTCTAACAACTAGTAGTAGATCCTACTAGTGCCAATTGTGTTTTCCTTTGAGAACCACGGGTATATGAAATCATAAAGCAAATTTAGTCGTTAGTTCCCAAAAAAAGAACTGTGGTCTTGATGTATGGTTTTTATGTGAGGCATTAATGTTTTTGCAATTTTGATTGTTCGTTTGTGACATTGCATTATTATGTCATTTACTTTATTATTCTTATCATTTCAATTCTTTTTTTAACTTATTTATCAAATACTAATGCTCAATCCAGTTATAACAGAAGCTCACCATATTATCCTCATTTTGTGTTTTGGAATTTTCAAAACTAGCAGGTACCGAAAGACATTAACTTAGAATGGTGAAAGACAATGTGCTTGTCTCTTTGAGACAAGATCCTTTTATTATATAAATCTTCCGATGTTTGTTGCTTATTGAGATTTTAATTTGGTTCCCACTATTAGAGAGGGTTTGCACAATACTAGTGTTCCGTGAGCTCAACATCACTTGTTAATATTTTGTGGAGTGTTAAGAGTAAAATTTGCATCTCTCGAAATTAGCATTATTACTATAGCCGATAGAGAGTTGTTAAGAATAAATTCATACATGTCTAACTCATGAACTCTGATGGAATGGTTCAATGGTTAAAAGCTTAAGAGTCTAAGTTGAAGATCTCAAATTTGAGTCTTGAAGCAGATGAAGAGAGGTTTAGGAATAAAGAAAAGCTATCTTCTTTTGTATAACTCATTATCAAATGTACAAAAAAAAAAAAAAAATACATGTTTAACTCGAATAATGCTGAATTTGTTCAAATAACAAATAATATAGCAACTCACAAGGTCTCTTCTTTCCTTAAGTTAAGTATATAAGTATATATCTATAAGTTTTTTGATATTTGTTAACTTAATTATCAAGTATAAGTCTTTAAATATTTGAATAAATACCAAATTTAAAAAACTATATCTTAAAATTTTTAAATTAAATATCAAATATAGCTTATATCCAATTTATATATATATATTTAAAAGGCTCAACCCTACTAACAAATGTAGTGTGATAATAACCATTACCAAAAAGAAGAAGAAGAAGAAGAGGAAAGAAAAAGGGCAGGCGGTTGCAAGAGTTAAAAAAAGGAGAAGATTTAGAGTTTTCAACGAGTACCGCGCTAATTTTGTAAAGTTGGGCTTGTGTTTGGATGCCTCGTGGGCCTAGAGCATGATACTGGATTGAGCTTGAATGCAATCTGGCCCCGAACAGGAAAATGTGTCTCCTTTTTACACATTTGGTCCGCTCTTTTTTGCAAATTTCTTCAATTGAGTCTAATTTTAGCGTCCCTTTCTAATTTTTGAGAGGAACTTTCATCCCTTTCACGATCAAACCTTAAAACACAAAAATAAAGACAATTAAAAATTCTTTTTTCTAGACAAAATTTTGAAATTTTATTTCTAATTTCATGTGAAAATTTGGGTTATTATAGGTAGTTAACTAAATTTTTTCTATCCCAACAAATTTATCTTTTATCTAAATAGATTATGCTAAAATGTACGTGACTTAACTTTTAAATCTTGAGTTTGGATTTAATTATAGCATTTATATAGGCATTAAATTATTTGATTTGGTATGTTCACATATTTTATGAGTTTAATACTTATGACACATTACCTAGGGATAAAGTTAGGATTTGATGGTGGGGGGCAAAGTTTTTTTTTAAAAAAAATAGAGCTGAAAAAGAAGCTCGATAAATGCTCTAAAATGGCAACAGCAATAAAACGATACGTGGGATTAACAAAACTTGACCTTAAATCATATTTCTTCTATTAGTAAAAAAAAAAAATTACTTAGATGCAAATCCATATAAATAACAAAGAAGAAGGCATAAAGTGATCATTTATTGTAGCATTAATCTCACATGAAAAAATAAAAAATTTTGATATGTCTTGTATAAAACATATATGTTTTTTAGAATTTTGGGTGACTATAGTAAATACTTTCTTATTAGCATTTGAGGCAAAAATAAAAAGAAGAAGAAGAAGGAGAAAACTTTTCATATTTTATAAACAATCAAAATTTAGAACAATAAATTACAATAAATTAAAAAAAAAAAAGGGTCAAACATCTATCTTCTAGAAATCAAAGGAGCAAAAGGAGGAAGGAGAAAGTGAATAAGTTAGATTAGAATTTTTTTTGTTATCAAATTAAGAGATTAAAAGACATGTTTTATGTTTAATGAGTTATCATTAGAGAACTCACTAATTTTTTGTCTCCATATTTAGTTTGAATTTAATTACTAAAACTACAAGAATTGCTTACTATCGTAAATGTTAAAAAAAAATTCAAGATAGTAAATATAAAGTATAAATATTTGGGACTAGAACATTTTTTCACAAAAGCTCAGGGGCCGGCTGACCCTTTGTTTATACACGGCTCCGTCCTGAATTTTTTTTT